AGCTATCATGCTAGGTGGCCTCCAGCTTTAGGTGCCACTGTAGTTTCCTGCTTTAAAGGTAACGGTTCCCCTCGCACATATGTGCTAGTTGTTCCCAACTCTAGGGGGCGGTGCTCATCTTCGTTTCAAAACCAAAGGGCCAGTGCTGTCCGAAGATGTCTCCGTGGTCCTGTGGCCGGCATGACTAAATGATGAAGGCGCACGGAATGCTGTTACTTCCCACCAAATGTGGTCCCTCTTTTTCTACTTGCATTTTTACACGCTTTTGAACTGCTAGGTTGGCAGAAGCTGGGACAAGTAATGGGAGCTCACTCCGTTACGCAGCGCTAGGGATTCGAATCGTCAAACTGCTAACTTCTAATCAACAAGCTCAGTGTCTTAGCCACTGAGCCACTGCAGCCCCACAGTTTCCTGCTTTAGATACTATCATAAGGAGAATAAAAGAAGGACCTGGTGCCCAAGTCTGTTCTGTATTAAATCTTGGTTCTCTCAACCACCTCTCTCCTATGCTGTGTCCCTTCAGCAAACCAGGTTGGTACCATCCATGTTAGTAGGATGCAGACAGAGGAAACAGCATGAAGCATTTCTTTGTGTACAGAAGTTCTTGTGGGTGCGACTTTGCTCAGTAATTATCATCCTGTTCCATCTGTCACTCTTTCTTCTTCACAATATTGATTGACTCAAGATGGCTTTATGGCTGGTCAAACCCCATGGCAACTATTCCATCTAAATGAGTTCATCAGTCTCATGAATTTGGGAATCTTAGTGCATGTGGAGAGAGTTCATTTGGTGTACAGGTTAAGATAGCAGAGTACAAACAGGGCAACTAAGACTCCTAGCAATAGCACTTAGATTTACATACCGCTTCATAGGGCTCTTTCCAGCCCTCTCTAAGTGGTTTACAGAGCCAGCCTACTGCCCCTAGCAATCTGGGTCCTCATGTTATCCACCTCGGAAGAGTGAGTCAACCTTGAGCCGGTGAGATTTGAACTGTTGAACTGCAGCTGAAGTAGCCTGCAGTACTGCACTCTAACCAATGCGCCACCTCAGCTCTTAGACCTGCCTTAGGCACAAAGAAAGCCAGCTAGGTAACCGTGGGTGAGTTTCTCTCTCTCAGCCCTAGGAAAGAGACAATGGCAAACCACTTCTGAAATCTTGCCAAGAAAACTGTGGGACTTGTGTAGGCATTTGGCAAGAGTCAACACTGACTTAAAGGCATAAAAAGAAGTGGGAGATAAAAAGACGTGGAAGCAATCAGTGAATCCTCAGGAGCTCAGCAGAAAGAAGGAATTAAGCAAGAAGAGGGATACATTTTGTTTTGTCTTGCTAACCAAAGCATACACAACAGCTTAATATAGAGCCAGACAAATAGCTCAATTCTCCCAGTACAGGTAGTCCTCTACTTGGAAGGACTGCCCATCATGGCTATAAGTCATGATGATCATAAAATGAGTCACCCACATGGCTAAACTGATTTTACAACCTTCAATGCAGTGTTTGTTAAGCAAACGCCACAGACATTAAGCAAACCAATGGTTCACCCTGGGCCAATTTTGCTGTAAGCATAAAGTAAATGCCATGGTTTTTTTGTTTATTTGTTTGCAAAACTGTCCTAAAATGCATTCGTGTCACTAGAATGCTTAGGATGCTAGAAAACAGCCACAAATGTGAATCGGTTGCCGAGTGCCCCAACCTGCATTCATGTGACCATGGAAGAGGGGGGGGGGAATGGCCATCAGAACTTCAGAACCAAGTTATAAGTATCCCCAGGAAGGCACAACAAACAGTTGCTAAGCAACCAGTCATAGGTTGAGAACTACCTGTGCTATCTGCTCCAATTAGCTGCTTCAGCAAATAGAAATTGGAAGGGCTGAATTTGTGATCATTGTTTTGCACAAGGACGTCCTTTACCCCTTCTTAAAAAGAAAAGGTATTCATTGTATAAAAAGAAACGATTACATCAAAAGTACTCTTATTTCAGCAAAGTATGCCCATTTAACTGTTTCAGTTTATTAATGGTCTTTTAGGTACATGCTGGATATAAATAAAATACAAACAAGGGTTGACACTTAAAGATTCAATCTTTTCTAAGAGAAATTTAAAAAAATGGACAGCTACAATTTTATTCTCCATTGCTAAATTATTAGATTTCAGAGCTTCACTCTTAATAGTACAATGTCTGTATTGGCCTACTGAAAGAAAGTTGATCTAGGTCATATAGGCTGTTCCCTTCGGGATTTAGACACCTGCAGTCCCCCTGTTGAATTAGTCCATTAATTAGCATTAAACAGGTGCTTGTCTTGCTTGAAAACTGCCCAATTTCCTGGCCTCTAACTTTAACTTTTCCAAAGAAGCAGTCAGAAAAGTTATAAAGGAAAAAAAAAATATCTAGCTTCCTGTCTAAGAACAGGAGAGTTTCTCTAACTCTACAAGAGGTACATATAATTGGATCTTGTTTGTTTATCCTTTTTTGTCTTTCCAAACAGCAAAGATTTAATATGGTTTTTTCTTTATTTGAGACATATGATTCGCTGTATCTGTAAAATGCAGAGGGGGGAGGAAGGGAAATGTTGCAAAATAAAATTAAGATCCTGTTGTTTCAGCAAACTCCCTTATATCGAAGTATTTCTCTAATTATTAACATTAAGCAAGGCAAATGGTTACAATTGTTAAAATTATAACTGATAACCAATAAATTATAAATATCAATAATATTTATAATTTTTCAATAATTTTTCCCAGGCCAGCATCCTTCAAATAAAACAGAAGTTACAAAATGCCCGATTTTTGTATTACCAGTTTCAGTGTTTATTAAATAAATACTCACTACTTAAAAATAAATAATAACACCATCAAATCTGAAGGACGCTTCGTTGAAGATGTACTAGAAGTATATGAAAGATAAAGTGGTATATAAGAAGATATACCAGTAATGCATTTATCCAATTATCCACTGTAAATCATACCAAGAGCAATCAACTATAAAAAGATTTCTACAAAAAATACATGTGGGCATTTTTGTTCAATAAAACCTTCCAGAAACCAAGAAGAATATTGAACTGATTCTGATTATTATGTATCTATGGAAAGTTGTGCCGTGAAGCTACATAGTGGACATCCCGATGTTCTACAAAAGTTTACTTTTAATTAGCTGAAAACTGCGGGAGCCTTCAGAGTTGGTTTTCACCAGATCTGTGCCAATATGATGTATCCAATAAAGCGCTTCTTTGAGGAATCTACCTGCCTCGGAGTTTTTCTTGCTATGGGTCTATTACTTGGAACCCTGACAATGCCATGGCCTTTATCGATACATACACAAAAGGGGATGCAAGCGGACAATATAAATGGGCATCTTTTTATAAAAGAGCTCAACATGAACATTGGAACACAAGCAGGGCTTTCAATGGTGACGAATGGCTTCATTCATGAATTCCTTCCTAAGGCTTGTTAATGCAAACAGGAAGGACTTCAGGTATATTCAATAACAGAAGCTTCTATAGGGTGTTGATTGGCAGGTATAACCCCGCAGGACAAGTTAGAACTTACTAGCAATCTAAACAGTAAATTCTTGGTTGTTAGTTTATTTTGCTGTTAAATATTGGCAAATTGTTGGATGAGGAGCTTTGGCATGTGGTCAGGAGCTTCTCTTAAATAACAAGCAAAGGTAAGACAGGCTGAACAACTCTCTGAAGCAACTACAGCTAAAAGCTCTCTTTCCAACCCTTTGATCCTGATACTACGTGTGGTAAGAAGGGGAAGGGGGAGTGCCACTTCGTATAAAATATTTACAACCTAGTTGCCAGGCTAATGTCATGTTGAAATGGATCCTACTTAAAAATAGCACAGTTCTCTTGAGGATTCACTGAAAGGCACTTAGATTTTACTCTTTTTTTAAAAGGCAAAACGGTTAAAAAAATTAGTTTGGGAAAGGAACTTTATGCAATTTTGCTCTAATTATGATTAAAACAAGCATAGGGTTTTATGAACTCTGAAATTAGACATTGTGCTCAAGTGTTAAGATTGTGTTCAAGCACCCCTTTATGCCGTCAAGTAGGATAGTTCAACAACTTCCAGACAGCCACAAATTCTCACTCCATGTGGTGTTCAAGGAGCCTTGATAGATTAAAAACTGCATGGATTTTTAGCTTACAAAAATAAATCGCTAAAAAGGAAAAAATGTCATTTAAGCTGTAAAGCTGTAAAAAAAGAGTGGAGAGGGGAATATTCATACAAAAACCAAGTTTCACACAACATAAAGTGATCCAATGGTGTATGATCTCCAATGGGATTTTGTACTTATGATTTTTTTTGTGGCCTTCAAGCAGAATCACGGCATGGCATGGTAGTGTAACCTTATGTGGTGAAGCTACTGTTGGAACTGGTCTATCTATTACCAAGGTGTATGCTAGGAAATTAACTAATAAAACAGACAGACAAGAGTAATGGGGCACCCAATTTCGTGCTAGAATAATTTTCTGCTGACTCAAGGATGGATAGCTCTTAATCAGCCTTGGGAAGAAGCTTTTTGTCTCTTCTGCTAGGGAGCAGTAGGTGGGAGGGGGAGAAGGTAATTATTCCATAGTACCAACATTATGCCTTTTCTTCTTGAGACAGACAGAAAAGATTAGCATTAGATGTCACAGCAGAGTCTACTTCGTATTAGAGGAAAACAGATCCATGCAGCTTGGTGTGATTACCTGGCTATCCTTGGGATTATGAAATATAGTAGCAGATAGAGCCCGGGGAGAAGAGAAAACATCAATGATTTCCAATAAAGACACTGCAGTTTAATTGAGACACTGTGTTCCACTAATTGACTGTTAATTTTTTAAACAGCACCCAAGTACTATATGAAAGAAAAAACAAAAGCTCAGATTTAATATGTTGATGCAAGCTGGAAGAACAATGGAGTCACGTCCTAGGAAACTGTATACTTTTTCCAACTGCTATCCTAGCCAGAATGGAAGTGAAGACAGAGAGCGGCCAGGATGAAAAGTCCTTTAGACAGAAAATACTTACACTTCCCGTAGTTTTGGAAGCTTTGCGAAGGCAGAAGGATCAATCTCGGTCAGTTTGTTGTGGCTCAGGTTTCTGTTTTAAAAAGAGACAGTAGTATCAGCAAAAGACAGTTTCTACACTCAGCAAAAATTGACAATCCTAATTATTCTGGAGTTGCACTGGATAATAATAAAAATAAGAGCAAAGACAAAAAAGAAGAGAAACACATGTTTACCACATCTATTCCCTCCACCCAAAAAAGATGCTCCAGCTGTGAGCTTTTACCCAGGGCCTCATGGAATGAATACTGAGCTCTTCTGAAGCATTAACAACATGACAGCTTAGTGTTTCCCAATTAATTCAAAAGGTTCAGAAAGATCAGAATTCTGTTTTCCTAGAAGTGACAACTGACCAGGGGTGAAATGCTACCGGTTCGCCGAAAATGCTAAGGTTCGCCGGAACTGGTAGTAAAAAAAAAAAAAAAAATCTTTAAAAAGGGGGGGGGGAATTCTGTGACACTCAGCTATGCCGCGTGATCGTTGGATTGTCCACTTTTTAAAGCATTTTTTACTACCGGTTCAGGCAAATAAGTAGTAAAAATGCTTTAAAAAGTGAAAAAAAAGGTCCCGACAATCGCACGGCACAGCTAATTGTCACATAACCTTTTTTTCACTTTTTAAAGCATTTTTTACTACCTATTCGCCCAAACTGATAGTCTTCGACTTACAATGATTCGTTTACTGACTGTTCAGAGTTACAATGGCACTGGAAAAAAAATTCACACTTATAACTGATGATGTTACTTAGTTAGGTTAATGAAACATCTGCAAGAAAACAAGCAAACTCAGAGAGCACCGAAGATCCCTCATTTCAACACCTGAGCTACACATGTTCTCTTTTATTGGTAACACTTAACTGTATAACCGTGGCAGCATCCCCATAGTGACATTATTAAAATTTGGGCAACTGGCATGTATTTATGACAATTGCAGTGTCCTGGGGTCATGTGATTCCCCTTTTGTGCTCTTTTGACAACTAAAGTCAATGGGGAAGCCAGATTCACTTAACCACCTTGTTGCTAACTTAACAACTGCATGATTCACTTAACTGTAGCAAGAAAACTTGTAAAATTGGGCAAAATTCACTTAACATCTGTCTTGCTTAGCAATATAATTTTTGGGCTCAATTGCGGTTGTAAGTTGGGGACTACCTACACTATTTTCTGAAAAGAACTTTATAAAGAATGTTTGGTAGTGGAAAATATCCTGCTGCAGAAACTCGAACCATTTTCCTAAGTGTTTATAAAGTCCACTGTTCAGAAGTAGAACAATACTTGAATAATTCTTTCTTTCACAAATTTTTAGGACCGTCTAGGGTAGACATTATCAGTGTGGAAATGGTTCCAAAAGTGAGAGAATTATTCCCCTTTCTCATAGGCAAATAAAATGCTAAATGAATTTGGTTCAGTGGATGCAAACCATCACATTTCACCTTCCAAATATTTCTCACCATCTATGTTAAGACAAACCTTCAGTTTCTACGCCTTTCAAATCTTTCTTTAAAATTGGCATTTTAGTGGCTAATATTTTCCAATCCTACTGTTAAAAATATGAATTTTATCAAGGTTGCATATTTTTGTTGGATTTGTATTTGAGATCTTTAATAAACACAAAGGTTCTCCTTGCACATATGTGTTTCTCATTCCCAACTCTGGGGACATATATAATAAACATACGTACAAATAAATATCATCTATACAGTCTATTGAGCTTTCTACAGGTCAATGAATTCTCTCTTGCCACATTCTTGATATCTTCTTTCATGTGCTAAATATATGACATCTGCATTTAAGAGCAATAAAAATGATGCTTTTCCATCAGAGTATAAAGGTACAAAGACATCATTAAATTAGTACTTTGATTTATCTTAACAACCACAAAAACTAACAAACTAACTAGAGTTTTGCAAAAACTTTAAAGCAAAAATTGTTAGACTCTGTTCATGCATTCAACAAAGTGTATGGGGTGTATGAACAGAAGAATGGGTACCCAACATTTTTCTTTCTGATCAGCCTCAGGAGATCTAAAGGAAATTAATAGATATATGGTCTGAGACAATATCCTAGATGATATAAAGATTTGTTCTCATTACGTGTACTGTATGGAAGTGGAGAAATTATCAACTCACTGTGAAGTCCTCATAATATTCTTGCTAAGTGCTGAAGAAAGCTAGAAACATACTTCAACTGCAAATTTTAAAAAGGCGGGGTAAGCACAAGTAAAAGATGTCTATTATATCCCTCTAAGACCTTATCTCCTTTACAAAATTAGCAGCCCAACACTATCACTTATTGGAAAGTTGACTCCCATCATCAGGCAATATTCTGTAGTGGTTGAGTTGTGGAACTGCATTGTTCCACGGGTTCACTCTCACTCTCACACTCTCCCTCTCCCTCCCTCCCTCCCTCCCTCTCTCTCCCTCCCTAAGCACCCTCACAGGTTATAGTGGGGAAAAATAAGAGGAGAAAATAATATATGAGCTACAATGAGTTCTTGAATGAAAAGCGGAATATAAATCCAACAAATGATTAAAATCCATGAGGATTATTTCTAAGTAATGTGCACATAGCACAATTCTCTATTGAGGGATTGGGTAAATGATGCTCAATTCCTAGTAAATCCAGAGCCAATAGCAGCCTAAGCTATTGTTTTATTGTTGCATCCAGCAAAATGTCAGCTCCACTAGATGGGAAAAACCAAGAAATCAATTCCACAGGAAAGCCAAAACTACTTTTATTGAGACTGAGGTTTTATTATTGGCTATAGTAACAGAATTGTGTCTCAGCCGTTTCCATGCATTTTCTGCTTGTTTTGGACTAACAATTTGTTTTCCCCCCTAATTGCTTTGGTAACAGATCTTGCCTATTTCTGTCAAGATCATCTGCATCTTCTACTTTTTTACAACTTTTTTAATATCATTGTTTTCTTCCCCTATAGCAACCTGGGTTAGTTATAAACAGAAGTGGCCAGCAAAATCTTAAAATAATGTTCTCAAACCCGACCAAAGAGATTTATAATCCCTTTTGTGTTTACTTGCAACTTTTATCATTTTGGCAAAAGTCTTACCTTTCCCTCCTCAGTTTTCTGAAAATAATGTGATGGAGAACTTTTTTCGCATGACCACACCCATAATTTAAAGGACCCTGCGCCTTGCCCCCTATTCATGCACACGTGATCCCCCCCGCTACCCCCGCGTATATACACACCACTTTTGGGGAGCCTGGGGAGGGTGAAAACAGCCTCCCCTGCCCTCCGGCTCATTTCCTGACTTCTGGTGGGCCCGTTTTTCGCCTTCCCCAGACTCTAGAATCTTTCTTGGAACCTGGGGAAGGTAAAAACACACACCCCCGGCTGAAAATCCCCCCCCCCGAGCCTCTGCACGAGCCCTGTACTCACCTGGCATCATGCAGAGACTCCTGGGAAGGGAAGGGCAGCATGGGCGGGGCAGCCAAAAATCAACTGGCCAGTGCGCTGGAGCCGAGCTAGGGCAACGGATTGTGTGTCTGCTAATATGGCTTCACGTGCTACCTGTGGTACACATGCCATAGGTTCCCCATCACAGTTATAGGAGAAGCAACTAAAGCATCTGTCTTCTGAAGCTTTTTGTGAAATTGTTAAAAATAGATTTGCTGGATCAGATCAAAACCTCATTTAGCCCAGTATTCTGTTTTCCCATGCTGTTTCCTGGCAGGCCCTGAAAACATTGCGATCTTCTCATTCCTTTTCTCTGGCAAACATTATTCAGAGACTTGGTGCCTCTAAAAGAGAGTAGCATATACTTTACTTCTAGGATGAAGAGCAATTGATACCTTTGTCTTTTTGATATTATCAACAGGTTGAGGACCAGTTAATACTTTTACCTGTCACGATATTATCAACAGGTTGATAAAGTCAACATTATCGGGATCTTACATTTTCACTGAATCAGAAGGAGTTATTTACATTGGAAAATTCCATCTTTTGCTTAACTGAATCTGACAATATCAATTATCAGAGGACCAGAGGAATGCTGTCGATATAGTTTACTTGGACTTTAGTAAGGCATTTGATAAGGTAGACCATAACCTACTACTAGATAAAGTAGAAGAATGTGGGTTAGACAGCATCCCCACCAGATGGATTCATAACTGGCTGACCAACCTCACTCAACGTGTAATCCTCAATGGAACTGCATCTACATGGAGGGAAATATGCAGTGGAGTACCCCAAGGCTCTGTTTTAGGCCCAGTACTCTTTAACATCTTCATCAATGATTTGGATGAGGGAGTAAATGGGGAACTCATCAAATTTGCAGATGATACCAAGCTGGCAGGAATACCCAACACTACAGAAGACAGGCTTAAGATACAGAAGGATCTTGAAACTTGAACATTGAGTATAGAACAAGAAGCAAGTGGCTCAGTGACTAAGATGCTGAGCTTGTCAATCAGAAAGGTTGGCAGTTCAGCGGTTTGAATCCCAAGCACCACGTAACAGAGTGAGCTCCCATTACTTGTCCCAGCTTCTGCCAACCTAGCAGTTTGAAAGCATGTAAAAATGCAAGTAGAAAAATAAGGACACCTTTGGTGGGAAGATAACGGTGTTCCGTGCACCGTCGGCGTTTAGTCATGCTAGCCACATGACCACGGAGACGTCTTTGGACAGCGCTGGCTCTTCGGCTTTGAAACGGAGATGAGCACCACTCTCTAGAGTCGGGAATGACTAGCACGTATGTGCAAGGGGAACCTTTACCTTTACCTTATAAATTGAACTAAGAGAGAATTATTGGCCCAAAAACTATTGTTAAGTTCTGCATCCGAGAGTTCTTGGCTGAGCAAGAGAACAAGCACTTCTTATTTACCCTCTCAAGTCCCTTACTATGTTGCTTTTGGGAAAGAAAGAAAAAAGAATACACATCACTTTAAACAACTTGTAAGTAGCAGCTTCCTTCTCACTATGCATGTGTGTTACTTTGGAGATAACACCGCTAGCATATGATTCTGAAAGTGTGCCAAGCTGCTAAAGGATAAAATAAGGCTAACAAATGGAAGGAAA